TTCTTGTCCCCCCGGGTGCCTTTGAGGAGCCCGCCGATGTCTAAAGTGTTCGGAGCACTCGGGGGCTCTCTCAAGTGGACCCGCCAATGCTCACGGAGGTGCTGCTTCCGTGTGAAGTTTTTGACGCACTCCGTGCACTGGTAGGGGCGCTCCCCAGTGTGAACACGCTGGTGCCCCAGGAGATGGTGCTTCTGTGAGAAGCGTTTGGGGCACTGGGTGCAGTGATACGGCTTCTCGCCCGTGTGGATCTGCTGGTGCTTCAGGAGATGGTGCGTGCGGCTGAAGCTCTTGCCGCACTCCTTGCAGTGGTAGGGCCGCTCCCCGGTGTGGATCCTGTAGTGGTTGGTGAGCTTGGATTTATCCGTGAAGCTCTTCTCGCATGCTGGGCATTTATAGGGTCTCTCCCCCGTGTGGCTCATCTGGTGTCGGATGAGGTGGGAAGAGCGACTGAAGCATTTCTCACAGTATGGACAGATAAGGGGCCCGTGGCACTTCTCGGCGTGGGTTCTCTGGTGTATGAGGAGGTTGATGTGCAGCTGAAAGCTTTTCCTGCACTCTGTGCACACGTACAGCCGCTCTCCTGCCTGCAGGAGATGAGGATTGCTTAGGCTGGAGTTCGGACTGAAGCTGCTATCGCACTCCGTGCTTGGACAGCATCTGCCTCTTGCCGGGTCAGACTGGAGACTGAGCATCTGTGGCACGCTTTGCTGATGGTCTGGCAAGCTGCCGGCTCCCTCGCCTGCCTGGACTCTCTGGTGCAGCAGGTACTGCTGCTTGTGACTGAGGCCCTTGGCACATTTCGGATAGTCATAGGGTCCTGCTCTGGTGTGACTCCTCTGGTGAATGATAAGGCTTTTCTTTAGCCTAAAGCCTTTCCCGCACTCGGCACACTTATTAGGCCTGTCTTTGGCAGACTTTCTCTGGTGAATGGCGACTGGCTTGTTGTTGCTGAAACATCTTTCAAGCTGAGCTGGTCCTCTCCTTCCGGGGTGGTTCTTCAGCTGTGATACTGCACCGCACCAACCCTCCTCAGGACCCTGCCCAACGTCCTCCTGGGACGTTCCTGTTAACGTTCCAAGTGCTTCCAGGATGGCAGGGCGTTCCTCTTGCTCAGTTTTGATCAGGATCCCATAATCTAATGGATAGGAGAGAGAGAGCTCTTATTTCAGCCTTGTTATTCATGGCTATTATTTGTTAGCTGCCTTCCCTGCGTGCACCAAAGTTTTCAAAACTGGGGGCCTAAGCTCACAGCCCCTAAATCCAGTTACACCTCTACCGAAAAGAGGCCCGATTTTCAGAGCCATGGAGCACACGCAGGCCCAGCTCCTGGTGCTCTGCTCATGGGAAAGCCCAGCCAGAGAAGAGGTTGCAGCAGCCAAAGCAGGAGGTGATCAAGGTGGGGAGAAAGGTTACAGCTGCAGGGGGAGCGAAGGAGGGAGGGATTTCTGAGGTGATGTAGAGACAAAAGGAGGAGAGAAGCTGGAATTCTCAGAAGACAATGGGGAAGGGAACAAGGGGAGCACCTCCTGGCTTCCAAACTTCCCTCCCTACTGCCCTCATTTCGGAGCCATCTGTGCCCCTAGCCGTGGCCTCCTCTCCTTCCCACAGCCTGGCCCCTCTCTTGCTTTGGACGGAGGGGTGGCGGGAGGTCCGTCATTTGCTTGTGCTGCCTCATCTACCTGTAACACTTTTCTCTCCCTCTTCTTTTTCTTCTAACCTCACCTGAGGATGTCAGCCTATTACCTTGGGTCTACAGTCAGCTGTAACCCCAATTCCCCCCCCCAACACACACACACATGTTACTGGACTTGATGCAGGAGTCGCTGGGTGGGATTCAATGGCCTGTGTTATGAGGAGGTCAAACTGGTCCCTTCTGGCTTTAAACTCTGCAGACTACAGCCTCCTTCCATCCTGTCCTCTGGGCACCACGTCTGCAAGAGGACTCGCTTGCCTATCTGCCCCTCCAATACATGAGCCTGCCCCCCGTGCCCCCATTCTCCCACAATTTCCTGGGCTGTAAATTCTCTGCTTGGGCAAGAGTCTGCCCCCACTCTGTAGGGCGCTGCCTTTCCATTCACTCACTGGCAAGCAGAACTCACCTGGCCCGGGGTCCGTAGGCATTTCTCGCTCCTCCAAGGCTCCTGGATTCCTGACGCTTGGCTTTTCCTCTTGTACAATCCAGGATAAAATGTCAGGTTGGGAAATTGCATAATCTATGGAAAGAGACATTGGGGGCTGTTATGTTTTATTGACACTGACGGAGCCGACGTCTCAAACCAACTGTTTTTGGCCAAAGGAGAATAAAACAGCTGGGAGAAGATGGATTTGTCCCATGCAAGCCTGTCAGGGGTCCCAGGACACCAGGGGACTGGACGGCTCATATACAAAACAAGCATTAAGGCCTTGTCTCCGCTACAAATTCCTAGCCAGAACAGCTGAGGCCTCCTAGTGTAGAGGCAGCTTATCCCAACAGAAGGAGTTTTTCCTGTCAGTACAGTAACATCACCTCCCCAAATGACATTACTGTGCCGATCACCTACACTGGAGGCTTTGCCAGCACAGCTGTGTCAGCTGCCGGGGGGGGGGGAAGCGGGGAATCACATCCATGACCAACCCAGCTATACGTACCGACAAAGCTTTGTAAGGCAGACCTTCCCTAGGCAGCTTCCCTGTTTACAAACCTCCTGAGAGCCCAGGGAGCTGTTTAGAGAACAGGTCGGCTCCAGGAAGAAATCAAGGCTCGCTGCTTTAAGAAAGTCCACGTGCCCCAGATGCCGGGCTCCAGAGTCAATGTGCCACCTTCTTCATCCCACCCCTCTATGCAATGGCAGCTGGGGGCCAAAGGAAGATGGGCAGCATGGAAGGACCAATAGAGACACTTGGAGGGAATGGGAGATTTAGCATCTGACAGTTTCCTGTCAAACGGGAGGATGTGAGGAACCCAGGAGAGGCCCCAGACAGCACTACGAAAGAGAGGGCAGCATCCCAGTTCCCCCAGGCACTGTCCCTGCAGCCGTCAGGGCCAGGCAGCTCCCTGAACTGGAACACAGCCATTTCAGCTTGTTCCCCACCAGGTGGGCACCCAGGAGCCGCTGACTGCAGGGTTGGCAGCAGCATCTGAGCCAGCCCTGTTACAACGCTTAGTCGTCTTCAGATGAAAGACATTTCTGGTTTGTCACTTCCTGATACAGAGAAGGGGTGGGGCCTGCACCTGACACCACGGACAACCAGCCACCGGCTGAAGGAAATCATTTTCAGATGGGTTTCTAGGGTATTTAATAATGTTGAAAGAACAGTTCTTCTGACCCACATCCTACTGTTGCTCCTGTCTCCCCTCTTTTCCCATCTGCATCCATCTGTCTGAGAACACACGGAAGGAAGAGAAATTGGCCCTTTTTAAACTGGCGTCTAAACAGGAAGCCTGGAATCACCCTATGGGAACTGGCCACTAATCCCATTTTACCTGGTGTCTGCCTCAACCAAGAGGCTTTGAATCTAGTCAGCTGGGCAATACTGTGATATTTCTTCCCGGCTCCTGGCTCAGATCCGTTCTGAGGCATGAAGCTCAAGAGTGCCCAGAACATTTAACATCTAGATTTCTTAGCTTCTAAACTTTGTAGAGTAACCGGACTTAGGGAAGTGAAGCATGTCTCACCTGGTATCAAACAGCAGTCCACCTTTAATATCTAAGGCAGTATTAGGGAATGGAGACTTTACATCCAATGTAATCTACTGACTTTTTTAATGCTTAGAAGGCTTAAACAGAAATCATTTTAATTAAAAAACTCCTAATCAAAAGTTAGTCACTGTCCATCTGCTTTCTTCTACCCACCCATTTCTAAGGTGCCTAGTTTCTGCCTGTATCTGCAAAATATTTAGGAGTAGAAAGACACAGAAAGTAGACACCATATCAATCAACCAATTCACTTCTCTCTCTCACTAATGCTCTGAAATACGTTTTATAACAATGAAGAATTAAAAGATCAACACTAGACAATACACTAGAAAGAACAATTCTGCACTGGCCTCGATGGGTAGGCTAATAAAGGCTCAATAGAGTAGAGATAAAGAAGTTCTAGGACTTTACTGCTGTGCTTGTTATCTTTTTGTAGGAGATACCGTAACAGCCTAGAAGTCACCTGTGGCGATTACCATGTGTGTAAACGAAATGATAATTTGTGCAGGCTACAGAAATAATCTCAAACTAGAGAGACGATTACTGCAGGAGGGCATGTTCCAGTTATGGGGAAATCAAACATCTGAACTTATGGGGCTGCAGTTTCTGAGCGGTAACCAAGAGTCTCTGCATCCTTTGTCTTACCCAGTTTATTTTGCATCTTTATCTTGGAAGGTCTGTGAATTCCTTGCCATCAAGTCATGGGCCATGCTGGAGTCAGTAATGAAGTGTGCATGCTCTAGACTTATTTTACTGCCAGGAGGATGTTTGCTTGGACTGCCTGCTCAGCACTAGATCCCTAGTTATTGAGTGGCTCCTTGTTTACACACCAAGTTTAGAAGGTTATCTCTGCTGTCTGGCATTTGCATGGGCACTGTCCTGGCTATGCACACACACACTCAAATTCCACTGCTGTATTTTTTTAAATCAAGTCTTCCTGGTGTGAGGTGGAGATTCACTCACCTCTGACCCCTTCTCCATTGAGAGACTGAAGTATCACAAGAATGACCCCTGGCTTTAGGTTTTGCTCTTAGCAGCAGAATTCCATCTTTTAGAGGAGGCACAGGGGGGCCTCCCATTTGAGAAAAAAGTCCAAAGACACATCATATATTCCGTAGGA